ACTGCTAGAATATAAGTATCTCTGGCAGTACTGGTGTTACTGCTAGAATATAAGTATCTCTGGCAATACTGGTGTTACTGCTAGAATATAAGTATCTCTGGCAGTACTGGTGTTACTGCTAGAATATAAGTATCTCTGGCAATACTGGTGTTACTGCTAGAATATAAGTATCTCTGGCAGTACGGTTTGTATGGAGATATCAGTGACATAAAATACAAAGTGTGTGGACAGAGACAGGGCCATACACTAGAGCATATATCTTAGTGACCAAATATCCAACCTTTGAGACATCTCCATAAAATTCTCACAGGATATGGCAAAACACTTCATTTTTAATTATAAGATATCTCAAATCATCAGACTGCAATTAAGTCTTGTATTAACATGATGAATGAATTGTGTTTTCAAGAGAATACAAATCCGGTGGCCCGGTGGCCTGGTGGCTAAAGCTCCCGCTTCACACACGGAGGGCCCGGGTTCGATTCCCGAGGGTGGAAACATTTCGACACGTTTCCTTACACCTGTTGTCCTGTTCACCTAGCAGCAAATAGGTACCTGGGTGTTAGTCGACTGGTGTGGGTCGCATCCTGGGGGACAAGATTAAGGACCCCAATGGAAATAAGTTAGACAGTCCTCGATGACGCACTGACTTTCTTGGGTTATCCTGGGTGGCTAACCCCCAGGGGTTCAAAATCCGAACGAAATCTTATCTTATCTTAATTATGTTGAATGTGTTAAGTGGTAACGAGCCACTTTTTCTTGAATTTGAATCAGCATATAGTATTGAGAAGTAATTATCGTATATGTAATAACTAAAATTTGTAATGATGTAGCCAGAAGTAAATTTATATAGGCATAGGCACACAAGTATAATTATCATACATACGGTAAATTACTAGAATAACCTAGAAAAGGCCTTTTTTTGTTATTAAAAGGCAGACAAAGTGACTTTTTTCCATTGTGTCTTGCCCGGTAGGGTTTGGTAAAGAGTTTAGTTTAGTATCAGTATTACGCACACTATACCCATGGTTTGGGAGATAGTCAAAAGATTAGAGGTACAAAATGGGTTCAGGAACAGCCGCTGAACAACTTACATGTTCATATCTGATCACAGTCGTAATCAACCATTGATTCAGATATGAATTAAGTCACACACACGCAATGCTTCACTTACAGTGAGCAAAGTCAGGGTATTTTTTCCAGAATGGTCTGTAATAAACCATTGTGGATAAAATAATTTGACATTTATTAAACTTTTCTTTGTGAATTGTCTCAGAATTCATTAATGTGATCGCATTCCAGTACATAATGACGCAGGTTGTGACAATAGTCCACCTGGCAAAGTTTACATTTAGTTTGGTTAGTTGGTTTTAGTTAGTCTCCCAAAGATACTGGTAACCCAGCCGGAGCCGGACGGTAGTGACATCCAAGAGTCTGCTTGGTAAAGACCCTTTGTAACCTCTGTAATCTAGCTTTTTTTTATTTCCGCTCACAGAATGAGCTAGCTGCTGAGGTAGCACAACTAATCCTGGTCTTGGTCTCCTGCTTGAGCAGGTCCATCGTTGGGTCCTGGCCATAAGTTCTCCAGTCTTCGAGGCCATGCTGTATGGTCCCCTGGCCGAGGGTGACCTGCTGCACCTTCCGGAAGACCCTCCTGAAGCCTTCAACTGGCTCCTAGATCATATATACCTCAACCACAGCCAGCTGCCGGGGGTTCAGCTGGCTCTCCAAGTATACCAGCTAGCTGCTAAGTACCAGATGGATCCTCTGTGCAAGCTGTGCTCCCAGGTGAGGTTCCCACATGCTTGAACCAACTCGTTCACATTGTCATGTAGGGGGGTAATGATTAGCGGAATATGGGGGTAAGTGGAGGGGGTCAGTAGTAGGTAGGTGACAGTCGTAGGCAGTAGGAGGGGTGAGTGCGGAGGTAGGTAAGTAATGACAGGTCAGTGGTGACCACCACGACACTCTCATTAACTCTACAATACTCACTAACATATGCCTCGCCCACTCTTCACTCATATATAAACATAATAAAATATAAGAAATAGGAATAGCAAATAACGGGGACAGTGAATATTACTATTTACTCAAACACAGTTTATTATTACGTCTTTGTACAATAATATATTTGGGAACAGAACATTATTGTGGTTTAGATAAATGGGATGGTACACATAAGCAGTGAGACAGGGAATACAATCAACTTGACGAAAATGAATATAACTTACAATATAGCACAGAGGACAGTTCACTACAGGAACTAAGCCACCGGTCCCAAGACCTACACAGCACGAGTACTGCGCCAAGCCAGTACTCTGCCCAATGCCTCCAACAGTCTCCTCCAGAGACTTCAGCAGCCTTCTCCCGAGCCCTGCACCCCAGCAGCAGCTCCGCTCGAATCTCATGATCATGCTCTTCCTTGGGCTTTTATGGTAGTCAAAGTACCCCCTCCCCAATGGTGTATGTACCACGTGTTGCGACCTGACGCCGAGCTCTGACGCTGTTAAGAACAAAAGACCTCAGACGTGGGCGTGGCTACAGACGTCTGCCAAGGCAAGGTGTGACCATATAATTGGTTAAATTAGGTCTCCCCAGAGACCTCACAAGCCCAGCTGGACTACATCACATCCCCCTTTCTCCCCTAATTTAAAATATCTGAGAACTAGGACAATTTGTCCTAGTTATTAGACTATTTTAATCCTAATCCCTTAAATCTATTACAATACAAAGACAAAATTATACATAATACAATTATATTTCCCTCAACCTCCTCAACTACCACAAGGTAGCATAATCAGTACACCTGGCAGTTGGTCAGCATAATAGTCGCTCTCTGGTGCAAAGCCTCTTTACCCGTCATTTCTCCTTAAACCTAAATATCGGGCTCCAGTGCCTTCCCTACTTCTACTAGAAATGCACTAGCCAATGCTAGTCACCCTCGCACGTTAACCATTGGGCCAAACCTCTCTAGGCTTCTATGGCGTGGAAAACTGCTCCAACGGGTTGCATTCTTTCAAGTAACTGCAACTGGACCACTTCACGACCACCAAGGTCGCATTTTCGGCACACTTCACATGCACACTACAACATCTGAAAATCGAGACAGGGCAGGCATCGCAGCTAAGACCCTCCATTATCCTATGCCACTACTAGGATTCACTGGCCTCATAAAACAAGGCGGCCATAATCACTGGACCGTTTTCAAGGTCACCTTATTCCACACAGGTAACACTAACACTTCTGGCAAGTCAAAGTAGGCTGGGGACATCTCACATTCTTAATTGTCTCTCATGGCTGGCAGGGCATCCCCGCATACCGGTCGTACAGGTCGACCAACAAGGCAGGATACACCTCCATTCCGCCCTTGAAAGCAGGCTGGTCCCAGCAGCTGGAGTCCATCTCCGCGGCTCACTTCCTTCCACATCTCGGAGAATGGCAGCTCCATCATAGTAGATTCTCCTGTCCTGGCACACCAGCCAGAATCCCTCACACACCACTGCAGCATCACCGCCATCTCCTCCTTTTGAGCTAGGCAGCATCGCAGCAAGGCCGTATCACAGCAGCACACAGCACGGCCACAGCATCTCAACATCACCGCACGACCGCAGCATCTCAACATCACAGCACGGCTGTATCACAGCAGCACACAGCACGGCCACAGCATCGCAGCATGGCTACAGCATCGCAGCACGGTCGTATCACAGCAGCACACAGCACGGCCACAGCATCGCAGCATGGCTACAGCATCGCAGCACGGGCACAGCATAGCAGCACGGCTACAGCATCTCAGCAGCCGACATCAGCAGTAGCAGGCTATGGTCAGTTTCTCGAGGTGAGGTGAGGTCACTTCAGGTCATCAACAGCAGGTGCGGTCACCCATCCCTGGCAACTGCGGGTAACTGGCGGTCCGTGGGTGATGGTCACAGAGGCTGGGTGACGCAGACAGACACCCACTACACTGGATGACAGACCAGGGCAGCAATACATCTACTGGGGCACATCAGCTGGGTGACTGGGCATATCAGCTGGGTGACTGGGCACATCAGGTGGACAGCAATTATAGGCAACTCTTCAATGGGTGACAGTTGTGGGTGAGTCTTCCAAGGTGGGCTGGGTGACTTCTCATTCCTCTGTAAATATTCAATTTCGGCCAGTAATTGCTTCCCCCAAAAGTCTCACCCAAATACTGATATTCTCCACCATTTATCTCTAACCAACAACCACTCCACCAAATATAATATTACAACCAAACAATTATTCAGACCCACCGTCTGAAAAAAAGGTCAGTTAAGGTCACTAGGATTATAATATCACACTGAAATTTACTTTAACTTTACACACACAAGAAAAAAAAATGGTAGCATAACATAAGTATAACCGAGCAGTCAAAAATAAGGCACATGGGACTGGTTCCTACTATAAAAATAAGAACCACCACCGCTTAGACACCATGTCATGTAGGGGGGTAATGATTGGCGGAATATGGGGGTAAGTGGAGGGGGTCAGTAGTAGGTAGGTGACAGGCGTAGGCAGTAGGAGGGGTGAGTGCGGAGGTAGGTAAGTAATGACAGGTCAGTGGTGACCACCACGACACTCTCATTAACTCTACAATACTCACTAACATATGCCTCGCCCACTCTTCACTCATATATAAACATAATAAAATATAAGAAATAGGAATAGCAAATAACGGGGACAGTGAATATTACTATTCTACTCAAACACAGTTTATTATTACGTCTTTGTACAATAATATATTTGGGAACAGAACATTATTGTGGTTTAGATAAATGGGATGGTACACATAAGCAGTGAGACAGGGAATACAATCAACTTGACGAAAATGAATATAACTTACAATATAGCACAGAGGACAGTTCACTACAGGAACTAAGCCACCGGTCCCAAGACCTACACAGCACGAGTACTGCGCCAAGCCAGTACTCTGCCCAATGCCTCCAACAGTCTCCTCCAGAGACTTCAGCAGCCTTCTCCCGAGCCCTGCACCCCAGCAGCAGCTCCGCTCGAATCTCATGATCATGCTCTTCCTTGGGCTTTTATGGTAGTCAAAGTACCCCCTCCCCAATGGTGTATGTACCACGTGTTGCGACCTGACGCCGAGCTCTGACGCTGTTAAGAACAAAAGACCTCAGACGTGGGCGTGGCTACAGACGTCTGCCAAGGCAAGGTGTGACCATATAATTGGTTAAATTAGGTCTCCCCAGAGACCTCACAAGCCCAGCTGGACTACATCACAACATCAGTCATTTTCACTGCCCAAGTCATGATCATATCACAATAGACACTCATGGAGTCAAGAGCATTAATGGGTAATATGGAAACTCACAATTAACATGTCAACTTTAAATACACGTGTATTTGAGGACAAGGAGAAGGAGATACTGAAAACTGAACACCCACTAACTTTGCTTCTGTAGCTACAAACAGTTCTTGCTATGTCACTCATTTCTCTCCTGTCTTCCAGTATTTGGTTCAAGAAGTGACGGCGAGCACCTTCCCTGGCGTATATGAGACAGCACTGATGCTGGAAGATGATCAATTGCTGGCTAAGTGTGCACAGGTAAGTTGTTGCATTAGAGGGCCTATGACGGCTTGTGCCGTGTGAGGGTTTATAGAGCCACTGACAGCATGTGCCGTATGGAACCCAGGTCAGCATGACACACTACACACAAGGCTAGATTAAAGCTAGGCTATAAGTATCTTTGGCAGTACTGTTCGTATGGAGATGTCAATGATATAAAATGCAAAGCGTGTGGACAGAGATAGGGCCATACACTGGTGTGTGGACAGACAGAGTCATACACTGGTGTGTGGACAAAGACAGGGCCATATACTGGTTTGTCGACAGTGACAGGGCCATACACGTGTGTGGACAGAGACAAAGCGGTACAGTGATGTGTCGACAGAGACAGGGCCATACACGTATGTGGACAGAGACAAAGCAGTACAGTGGTGTGTCGACAGAGACAGGGTCATACACTGGTGTGCGGACAGAGACGGTCATACACCGGTGTGTGGATAGAGACGGTCATACACTGGTGTGTGGATAGAGACGGCCATACACTAGTGTGTGGATACAGACGGTCATACACTGGTGTGTGGGTAGAGACGGTCATATACTGGTGTGTGGATAGAGACGGTCATACACTGGTGTGTGGATAGAGACACGGTCATACACTGGTGTGTGGATAGGGACAGGGCCATACACTGGTGTGTGGATAGAGACGGTCATACACTGGTGTGTGGATAGAGAGACGGTCATACACTGGTGTGTGGATAGAGACACGGTCATACACTGGTGTGTGGACAGAGACACGGTCATACACTGGTGTGTGGACAGAGACACGGTCATACACTGGTGTGTGGATAGAGACACGGTCATACGCTGGTGTGCGGACAGAGACACGGTCATACACTGGTGTGTGGACAGAGACACGGTCATACGCTGGTGTGTGGATAGAGACACGGTCATACACTGGTGTGTGGACAGACACGGTCATACACTAGTGTGTGGACAGAGACACGGTCATACACTGGTGTGTGGACAGAGACACGGTCATACGCTGGTGTGTGGACAGAGACACGGTCATACACTGGTGTGTGGACAGAGACACGGTCATACACTGGTGTGTGGACAGAGACACGGTCATACGCTGGTGTGTGGATAGAGACACGGTCATACACTGGTGTGTGGACAGAGACACGGTCATACGCTGGTGTGTGGACAGAGACACGGTCATACACTGGAGCATTATATCTTAAAATGTCCAAACATCTACCTGGAGATCTAACAATATTCAGTAGGGTCGAACAACGACCCATTGTGATTTTTGTAATCATATTTTTTTTTTTTGCGCTACACGCACAGGATAAGTTGACGGTACACCATAAACTAGGTTCTCAGACGATACAACTAAACTCAGTTTACTTTATGTACGCCAGATCATCATCTGGAAAAGACCCGGGCAGGGACAAGACCGGCGAACCTACTCCCTGGAGTTTACCTGGAGAGGGTTTCGGGGGCCAACGCCCCCGCTGGGTCGGTCTGAGACCAGGCCTCATGGCCTGGTACCCCATACCCATACTGGTTCTTAAAAGATTACAGAGGTATACATAATGGGTCCAGGGACTGGGCCGCAAAGTTTTGATAGCTGGACAAGTTACAATGGTATTAAATTGTTTACATGTTTATATCTGTTCACCGTTATAATAAGTTATACACACACAGGACTCTTCTGTTTGTGGTTGCATGGGTCGAGTCACAGCTCCTGCTGTTGCACTCTTATAATAATAATCTTTATATCTACAAGTACATGATACAACTTAACCAGTGAAACCAGGGAGTTCAGGTGTGCACAGGTGGGTCTTGGTTTATATGACCTTATTGTGCACACCAGCCTGGTCATGGACCGGACCGCGGGGGCGTTGACCCCCGAAATACCCTCCAGGTATGTAGATGAATGGATCAGAGAACGACAACTTGATAAATTAGACACATGTGCAACATTTGGGTATCTTTAATAAGGAAATATTTCGCCAAACAGTGGCTTCATCATCAGACCATGCAAAGGAGAATGATGACGAACAGGAGAGTTTTGAGGTAATCTGGGAATTCATTCACTTGCCTAACTCTTGGGCATGACCTATTTCCACATTCGTCAAATGTAATACCACCTCACCTGTCTACAGTATATAAGCCACTTCTTCTTCTTTTCAAGAATGATGGACTAATTACATCGACCTACGGCTGAGGGACTGATTACCTCAAACTCCTCTTGTTCTTAACCATTCTCCTTTGTATGGACTGATGAAACCACTGTGTGGCGAAACGTTTCCTCATTAAAGATACCCAAGTGAAACAAACCGTACCATGGGTGGGGTTTGAACCCGCGATCAGTCTCAAAACTCCAGACCGTCGTGTCATTACGATTTCGTGAGTCATGTGTCTAATTTATCACCCTCCAGGTATATCATAGCCATCTATGAGTGGCACTCAAAACATAACAGTGGCACATAATGGGTTGTTGTTGTTGTTGGGGTTTACAGGGCCACTGACAGCATACGCCGTACTGAACCCAACATAACGGGTCCGGGGACTCGGCCACAAAGTTTTGATAGCTAAACAAGTTACAGTGATAATAAACTATTTACATGTTTATATCTGGTTACAATCATAGTGAGTTATTTATGCAGACATGAATTAAAATGTACTTAATTGGTTTGAATTTTACTATTTATTTTTCCCTTATATTTTAGAAGGGGTTTTTGTAGCGGAATTTACACAATTTTTAAGTCTTTATAAGTATTTAAAAAGGGCCCAAAGTCAGGGTATTTTTTCAGAAAAAGTTGGCAGTATGCCACGGTAGATATACACAGGTGGTGTGCACAGGTGGTATGCAAAGGTGGTGTGCACAGGTGGTGTGCACAGGTGTTGTGCACAGATGGTGTGCACCGTATTGAATTGTAATTAGCAGATAATACAGTACTAATTACTTTCATTCCATAACCATAATTTTTCAAAGAGGTGGAGGGATAAGCCAATGGAAGGCTTCTGTCAGATGACCAAAAAACTCCAACTAAGACCCGCGTCAGGAAACAAATTGTCCTGTTTCCTGACAAACCTTACCTAACCTAACTAAAAGGCTATAGATGGCACAGTGGTTTTTGCCTTTGACTCACAACGAAGAGAACTTGGGTTCGATTCTTGGACGAGTGGAGATGTTAAGAAGTTTCCTTACACCTGTTGATCCTCTTCACCTAGGATACCACTCGACTGTTGTGGGTGGCATCCTGGGGAAGTGGACCTAAGGAACACAACTGAAAGAAGCCACGGGCTGGCTTTATAGGGGTTGTCCTGGGTTATTAATCCCATTAAAGCCTTCTTCTTTCACTGTCTACCAGTTTACAAATAAATCATAATTTGAAGCGATAACATTAAACGATGTTTCGCTACGTTCTCGAACGTTATTAAAACGACGTTTTGGTGCATCTAGACTATTATCAAAACGACATTTTGATACATTTGAACCATCAAACCTTGAATGAGAGAGAGAAGACAGTCAAAAGATAGCTCAGGTGAAAAGGTGAGAACACCAAGATCGCCAAGATCACATGTGTCGTGAAGGTTAAAACACTCGACAACACTGGAGATGTGAAAATTTGATGGACTGCCTCCAAGTGAGTCGCCTACCCTGGCAAACTCTGTTGACACCGAGTTCTGAGGTGGGTACCTCAGCCTCACAAGTGGCTTATAGGACAGATTTTCACAAATGATTGGTGTTGCAAGAAACTCGCCTGCATGCACGTAAAGGACTAACTTACTTGGTGTTGCAGCATATATCCTGATCTTCAACTTCCCTAAGCTTAGCCTTAGCCCCTTTGGACTTCCCCTCAGAAACCACGTGCAACCGGGAGCCTTAATTCCTGCAATATTCAATCGTTATTTAGTAACCTGCCTGCACCTCAAAATTCCTATATCCAAGAGGGTGTGTATCCCCTAGTATAACTATGCAGACACGGACACTAGCTTCCAGACTGACGAGATACACTGGTATTACGGGCATGCACTGCCAGCTGCAACACAGGCCCCCCAGATCAACTCAAATCACAATCTCCCAGACACTGGCCAGAAATCTACGAGATAAAGTGGAGGTCTTGTCTTACTGTATGGGGGCCCGAGGAGGTCATCTACAGTACATCGAGGTGCCTCTACCCAATTTCCCCAGGTCTCGAATGTGAAGACACGTGGGGGCGCCGTCTGCTGATCACGGCATGTCTTGTCCAGTTGGTGTCTGTTCTTAAGAAGAAAGAGCTGGTCTCTCTTCCAACCCTCGTCTCTTCGTTCAAACTAGGGCTGCCAGTTCTCCCTAGCTAAACTTATCCTAGTGTTTGCCTACATTATCGGCCTATTACTACCTATGTTAAGGACTTAGGTTTTACATTATTATTACTACAGTTTGCCTTAGTAAACCTAATATTAATATACTAACCCTAAAACTACCTACTCCTTCCTGAAGGGTAAATCTTTTAAATAAATAAGTTCCTACCATCCACGCCAACCGGGAGGGGAATTTTGTTTAGGTTGGGGGAAACGTTTTTTGTTTGGGGGGGTTTTTAAGGGGCCCCCCACCCATTCCCAGCCGTTCCTTTAGGGGCCTTTTGCCGGTTTCTGTCCTGGGGAAATTTTTGGGGACCAAAAAAATTTTCCACTTTCCCCACTGGAAAAGGGTAGGCGCTAAGTCAAAAATCAAGTTCACCTTCCGCGAGCCCCCCCCGTGGACCCTGGAACAAGTCCCGGGCCCGGGGCCACCCCCGAGAGCAGACCCCGGGTCTAACTTAAAAACCGCCCCTTTTTCCCCCTGCGGGACCCCGGGGGTGTAAACTTGTTGGTTCTGGGGGCCTTTAGCCCCCTTTTCCCTTTTAATTTAAAACGTTTTTTCGTATGTCTACCCTTGACTAAAGTGGCCCCGGGAACCTACCCCACCCAGGGGCCCACAGGGGCCTTTGGGGAAAAAGCCTTTTTCCTCCCCACTTTTTAGGGGAGGTTCCCTGATTAATGGCAATCAATCCCCCTCTTTATTACCCTGAAAAAAGTTTTTTAAACCAAGGTGGCCGGGGTTTCGCCACACCTCCCTTTGGTTCAGTTTCCCACTGGTGGTTCATCGTGTAAAACGGGTAACTTTAACACTACTCCCCCCGCTATCATGGGGACAGCTTCTCCTCTATCTGGCTGGCAAGGGGAAATTTAGGTGGAAAACCTGCCGGGCCCATGATGTTTCCTACTGGGATTCTGTTTTAAACCAATTCCCCTTCCCCTTTAAAATTTCCCTCGTTTTGACAAAGGAAAATTTGTCTAAAGAATTTGGGTTCCCCCCAGGATACCTCCCTTTCCACTGTGTCTGGTAATTCCCTGGTCTGCCACTTCAAATCAAGGTCTTTCCCAAACGCTTAGGGTGCTGCAGCAAGAACCCCTCGCTGAAATTTTCCCTGGGGAATGTCCCTACCCCCAAGGCGTAATTCTTGGATGTCCACCTAATTTGACTGTGAAAACCACCACATCATAAAAATTTGGGGGGGACCCTTTACTTATAGCCCCTTCCCCAACATCATACCCAACTTTCTTTGTGGGCCCCAACTTTAAAAATTTGCCAATTTAAATTCTTTGTTATCAAAGGGTACCCTTTGTGCTCCGGGTCAAAAAAATAATCGGGTTTTTTTCGGGGCCCTTTCCCCTTCACAAACCTTTGCCAAAGACTGTTTGGTTTTGGGGGACACTTTCCCTGATTCCTCCCCTCGGGGTTAAAGACTTCCCCTCCCATTTAAAACACAAATGGGGTTTTTATTTTCAGGCTCGGGCTTTTCTTTTTTATCTCTACCCGAAAAGGGTACCCTACTCTTTTGGGGTTTCCCCTTTAAAATTTTTGGGGGCATATTGGGAGTAAAGGTTCTTACCTTTGCAACAGACTCGAAAACTCCCCGGGGCTGGGGGTTCCACAGTCCCCTCCCCAAAGTGTTCCCCCCCCAGCACTTGAAACAGAGTCTCAACTCCCCTTTGTCTCTGTTGCCTACTTTCTCAATGTTATATACTCCGACAATCCGTGCCCAGCATATTTGCCTTCGCAAACACCATATTCTGGGATGAAAGGGCCCTGAGGGTTTTTGCTTAAGGGTTCTTTTCCCTTTGACACTTCTTTACCAAGTAAAAATCCCCCAACGGGAGTTTTAAAAGCTTTAGACTGAAACTCTCAAAATCTTTGACAAATTTCTGGTTTTTTTGTGGGGTAACAAAAAAAATTCTGGGCCCCGAAATAGAGGAAACACCAACGTCCAAAGACCTTTGGGGAGATTATGGGCGGAGGATCTCACCTTCAAGGACCAAAACATTGTACAATCGCATCTCTAAAAAAAATGACGGGAGGAAAATAAAAACCTTCAAACTAGGGGGGCCCAAACCCCAGATGACACTCTTCGGGTCACTTG